AGGCATTTTTTCAGTTAGGGGGGAAAAAGCTTTTGGCTTCTCTCCTGAGGCCACAAGAGGGCGCATCGAGCAAAATATTACTAATGCACGTTTATTCAAATCAATAAAATAACACAACTATCTTTGAAAAAAAGTGTAGAATGTTTAAAATAATGTTTATAAACCAAATATAATTAATTAAGTTGCTTAAACAATTAACAAAACAGCATCATGCATGTATGTATAGTTGTATGTAAGTTGCAGTGGGATGGCGAAAAACCACCATAAAGTCTCGAGACGTGTTTTTTAAAAGTTGAACTTGCATTAATTTTACATGGCTTTCTAAACATGCGGCTCTCTTGTGCGAGACGCGAGTGCAACGTTGATAGATGTCCCTCTAGAAAATGTGATAAATATGCGTTCTGTGTGAAAGATACTAAAAGTACTGCATCATGAGCTGCTCGCGTGTAAATGAACACAGTGACGCACTTCACTCTGAAACATGCAGCACATTTATTTATTTAATTAAATCACAGCCTTCGTGATTTAATAATCGCATTAAGTCATATCATGATTTAATTTTAATTTATTAATCGCACAGCCCCTCTCACTGAACTAAGGCTGTCAAAACAAAATTAATTCCGAATTTTGTACTTAAATATTATCAATATTCGAATTATATTTGAATTTAAAAGGCATTTTTTCAGTTAGGGGGGAAAAAGCTTTTGGCTTCTCTCCTGAGGCCACAAGAGGGCGCATCGAGCAAAATATTACTAATGCACGTTTATTCAAATCAATAAAATAACACAACTATCTTTGAAAAAAAGTGTAGAATGTTTAAAATAATGTTTATAAACCAAATATAATTAATTAAGTTGCTTAAACAATTAACAAAACAGCATCATGCATGTATGTATAGTTGTATGTAAGTTGCAGTGGGATGGCGAAAAACCACCATAAAGTCTCGAGACGTGTTTTTTAAAAGTTGAACTTGCATTAATTTTACATGGCTTTCTAAACATGCGGCTCTCTTGTGCGAGACGCGAGTGCAACGCTGATAGATGTCCCTCTAGAAAATGCGATAAATATGCGTTCTGTGTGAACGGCTTGGTTTGGGTTTTGACGTAAACAAGATATTCTCCGCATTGATTATTCTCTTTTTCCGCAACATTTTGAACGAACAACGCAGCAGCGCCTCATCTAGTGGCTTCAACTTGATAAGCTATTAAAAAACATTAAAATGCAACAACGCTTACATCGTTATCGCATCTCGTGCGCCACTGACACACACCTAAAATTAGAATGCAACGTTTTTGCATTTTTTTGACAGCCATACACTGAATGCTTACCTGTGCTTGAGGAAGAGCCACTGAATGAACCACAGGGCCACGAGGATCATCCCGTTTACCTCGGTGACAGAAAACGCCCACTCCACACGCGGCACATAATCGAAGAACTTGTCCGGTAACGGCGGGCTGACGGATTTATCCGGGACTCTCTCGTGGACGATGGTGATCATGACGGTAGTAAGGACGAGGTTAAATCCAGCCCAGATGAAGGCGATTCCCGTCTTCCACCATTCCGACGGCAGCCGGGAGCCGCTGGACTTCGGGACGATGATGCGAACGTAGTCCTGGTTTTTCCGCAAGGCTTTACGGAAACTCCGCGCCAAACGTGTCGGCGTGCTGTCGTCTGACTTATCGTCTACCTGATCGCCACTGGGCGTGACCATAGAGGGGCGTGTCCGTCCTGTGGGTGTGGCCTGGGGGCGTGGCCTATCCTCTATCGTCACCATCACATGGTAGCCGCCGCTGGGTCTATCATCTTCTCGTTCGTCCAGAAGATGAGATGCTGCCATCGCTCATACACTACAACTAACACAAAAACACTTAAAATTAAGATTAAATACAATATTTAATACTTAATGTAACATTAATATAATGCAATTAATTAGGCGCACTGGCCCCGCCCCCAGACCTGTACGTCATCTTACATTTAATAAAATTGACTGTTGACAAATATAATGCAGGGCAACAACTCCATAAATGCAGGTATGCCCTAAAATTCAAGATATTGGGGCAAAAATGCCCCTGTATGAGTTTTTGTCTCATATTTATATCATACGATAAACGAGATCACACAAGTACCGTTTTTGTCACAAATATCACAAGTTTAAATTTGATTTTAGCAACATTTAGTTTCTGAATGAATCCTCGTTTTGAACGAATCGTGTGAACCAATGTTTCAAAGACTCATTGATTGAGAGAGCCGTTAACTTAATTCCTGAATGAATCAGAAAATATTTTTATTCAGTGGAAGAAATAAGCTTTCATATGTGACAGCTATAATTTAATGCACAAATAAATGCAGAGTCGTTTGCATTTGCACTCTGCATCGAAAATAATTTTTAATAACTTTTTAGGACTGGGGATTTCGCAGTATTTATAAAAGCCATTTCATCAGTTATATCAAAGATATATTCTGTATTCTGATCCTCTCAGAATGGCTAAATATCAGCCAATATTGGGGAAATTGTCATAATGTTGTTATGCAACAGACATGCAATGGGCATCTTTCCCGTTTACCCACACTACAGTGAAGTAACAATATTTAACACTGACCTGCATTTATTTTAAATGCACTAAACTTGTACAAAGATGCATTATATCAGTACTGCATGACTTTTATTTGCACATCCTTGCTTAAAGACCAAGCAGACACTACAGTGCTGATAATCGTTCACTCATTTATACGTGTTTGTGATTTATCGAGCAGCACTGACCTTCGGGGCGCAGTCCATGTGCATGCTGGGAACGGGAAGAGTTGTGATGTACATGGTCACCATACGGTACAAATACAACATTCCCTGCAGGAAGAAAAACCTTCGGCCCACGATGGCCCTGTCAACACAACAGGAGGAGGAGGAATCATGGGATGGAGTGAGTATAATGATCTTATACTGGTGATATACTGATTTTGATCCACTTTAAATGTTGTAGAAAATGCGATAAATATGCGTTCTGTGTGAACGGCTTGGTTTGGGTTTTGACGTAAACAAGATATTCTCCGCATTGATTATTCTCTTTTTCCGCAACATTTTGAACGAACAACGCAGCAGCGCCTCATCTAGTGGCTTCAACTTGATAAGCTATTAAAAAACATTAAAATGCAACAACGCTTACATCGTCATCGCATCTCGTGCGCCACTGACACACACCTAAAATTAGAATGCAACGTTTTTGCATTTTTTTGACAGCCCTACACTGAATGCTTACCTGTGCTTGAGGAAGAGCCACTGAATGAACCACAGGGCCACGAGGATCATCCCGTTTACCTCGGTGACAGAAAACGCCCACTCCACACGCGGCACATAATCGAAGAACTTGTCCGGTAACGGCGGGCTGACGGATTTATCCGGGACTCTCTCGTGGACGATGGTGATCATGACGGTAGTAAGGACGAGGTTAAATCCAGCCCAGATGAAGGCGATTCCCGTCTTCCACCATTCCGACGGCAGCCGGGAGCCGCTGGACTTCGGGACGATGATGCGAACGTAGTCCTGGTTTTTCCGCAAGGCTTTACGGAAACTCCGCGCCAAACGTGTCGGCGTGCTGTCGTCTGACTTATCGTCTACCTGATCGCCACTGGGCGTGACCATAGAGGGGCGTGTCCGTCCTGTGGGTGTGGCCTGGGGGCGTGGCCTATCCTCTATCGTCACCATCACATGGTAGCCGCCGCTGGGTCTATCATCTTCTCGTTCGTCCAGAAGATGAGATGCTGCCATCGCTCATACACTACAACTAACACAAAAACACTTAAAATTAAGATTAAATACAATATTTAATACTTAATGTAACATTAATATAATGCAATTAATTAGGCGCACTGGCCCCGCCCCCAGACCTGTACGTCATCTTACATTTAATAAAATTGACTGTTGACAAATATAATGCAGGGCAACAACTCCATAAATGCAGGTATGCCCTAAAATTCAAGATATTGGGGCAAAAATGCCCCTGTATGAGTTTTTGTCTCATATTTATATCATACGATAAACGAGATCACACAAGTACCGTTTTTGTCACAAATATCACAAGTTTAAATTTCATTTTAGCAACATTTAGTTTCTGAATGAATCCTCGTTTTGAACGAATCGTGTGAACCAATGTTTCAAAGACTCATTGATTGAGAGAGCCGTTAACTTAATTCCTGAATGAATCAGCCGTTTGAACGAATCGAATGAATGAATGAATGAATGAATGAATGACAAAGAAGACAGTGGTCTGGGTGAAGACGGGTCTCAGTCTCACTGTCAGATGTGTGCACCTCTCACTGAGCCAGATGTTACCGGGCTAAAGCTGGGGGGCTGCCAAAAGAATGCTGAATGATTATGGGAGAGGGCCTCGCATGTGTTTTAAGTGTTTTCATTATGATGAATGGCTCATGAAATTTCTATGCGGATCCCAGACCCCTCTCAGAGAGAGAGAGAGAGAGAGAGAGAGAGAGGGAGTGACACATGATGAATTGCTAGAACCACCTTGCTTTCTTAACCATGACATCTCACAACATTAAGGGAGTCGTAATGATGTAACCAAGTTTGCCACGTTGGAATATGCGCATGTGTAAATGAGATTTCAGAGCTACGGTGGAAAAAAAATTACAATTCTGTTATTATTTAATGACCCTAATGTTGCTCCAAAACCATATGCTGATATGTTTCTGCATTGTATGTAAGCAAGGATTCTTCAAAAAAATATTTACTTTGTTTTCTAAGACATTTGCCGCCACTTGCTGGCAGTTTTAGTTTCTTCTTTAGAGTATCATTTCACTTATTAAATAAATTAATAAACAGTAATTAAAATTAAATATTATATATTAATATCAACTGCAATAAGCATTTAAGTTGTCAAACTGTTGGCACATAATCTCAATAGCAAAAATGAGATGTGTTGCCAGTTAATTGTTTTTAATTCAATGCTTTAAAAATTAACAAACAAACAAGGCATATATAGTTAAACCACTAAAGATGATAAATCATTTGCCTCTGATTGAGAAAAATAGGTAATTATACAGGACAACAAAACTTACAATAATAATAATAAAGTAAATAAATAGCTAGATCACAGGTAAATTAATTTTCTCGCTGCAATAAATGCACCTTCTTGAGGTTCGTTTATAAAATATGCAACAGTGGATAAAACAACAAAAGCAAGATTATCAGTGCATGAATCAAACACTTTCTGATATGTTTTTCATGCATACTTTCATTGCGTCCCTGTATCATAAAACAGTGAATTCTAGTTATTTTGAAACTGCAGATGGTTGCATGTGTGCAAACTCTGCTTCCAGCTCTAGACGTGGATCTTGCAGTCTTAGCTTGTGTGAGGCATAAACACATGCATGTACATGCACCTATAGGTGGGTGTGCTTATGAACTTCACGGCGCAAACCCTTGGGTGTTTCAGTGTGAATGTGTGTGTTTGACACACCCTGAAACCTGCGACACACACAGACATGTTCACCTCGCTCATTCACATCTCTGACCCTACAGCCGTCTGACCGGTTTGTGCCGTTCTCGTGTGAAATGCTGATTTTCCACTCACTGGACTGAGAAAATTAATTACAGATTCCTATATATTTGAGGCTAATTGATGTTATAATAAAACACAAAGGAAGGCAACCAGGCACATCCAGTGTTTGACTACTGAATGGTGGTTTTAGTGATGGTAATACTGTAAAACCACAGTATTTTTAAATAAGTGACCCTGGAGCACAGAAGCAGTAGCTCAGGTATATTTGTAGCAATAGCCAAAAAAAAAAAAAAAAACATTGTATGGGTCAAAATTATCGATTTTTCTTTTATGCCAAAAATAACTTCATTTGGACAACTTTAAAGATGATTTTCTCAATATTTTGATTTTTTTTTGCATCCTGAGATTCCAGATTTTCAAATAGTTGTATCTCAGCCAAATATTGTCCGATCCTAACAAACCATACATCAATGAAAGATTATTTATTCAGCTTTCAGATGATGCATACATCTCAATTTCACAAAAATTGACCCTTATGACTGGTTTTGTGCTCCAGGGTCACATACACCACAGTACTGAATGCTTACCATATGCATATTCCATGGTATTTCAAGGAATACCACATTATTACCATGGTGCATGTCCAAAAACCAGCGTAATACAGGAATCGTTCCAATAACGTTCTGGAAAGGTGCTTTCAAAGTTTATTCTTAAAGTAACGTTAACGGAACATCCATTCAACGCTCTCTTGTCTTTAACGATGTTCTCAAAACGTTAGCACAAAAACCTTATTTATATCGTTCACGTGACATTTTTTCTTGAAATGTTGTGTTTAACGTATTTTAAATGTTACTATTTGATGTTACACACATTCAAAAGTGTAGTCAAAATGATGAAATGGAATCGCATAAACAAGAAAAACCGGATGTTTAGAACGTTCAGAGAACATGTTTTTGATACTTTATGTCAGTGGTGTGTTGTGAAAGTCACAGGATGCTTGAGTCACTGTGTGTCCGTGTTTGACAGTGAATCTGATCTGATCTGATCTGACAGCATTGCTGAGCTGCCGCGGAGGTCATCGACCTCTCACCTGTGCCCCAAAAAACATCCAGAACCATCCGGATCATAATGGAGTAATGATCGATCAGGCAAATAAATTTCCATAATCATTATATATATTATATATCATATTAATTGTATTTATTTGTTATATGTATATTATATTGTATTAAATATTAGTACGTTTTATTATATTAAGTATATATTCTATTATTATATGCAATGTATAAATAATGCATAAAAAACAGAATATTCTGTTTCGAGTTAATTCTGTTGAATATTCTGTGTGAGGCAACAGTTCTAAAAATGAATGATTATACTTAATCACAGTGCACACAATGTTTATTTATCTGTTGACTCATAAATCCGCTTTGGTTTGCTGAATCAGAGAAGGATGATGATGATGATGCAGACATGTTATGCATAAGTTATGAGTAATGTCTGTCGTGTTTGAGTGTTTTCTCTGCTGTTGGTCAGTAGAGGGCACAACAACCTGATCGAACCTCTGTGGTGTTTTGTTTATTGACCCTCTAACTCTAGCACTCTCTATTCTAAATCTATTTGATCTATTTTTTCTTTTATTTGACCCTCTATCACTTGCACTCTCTATTCGTTTTCTAAGTGCTTGTTTTTCTTTAAAAAAAACTATAACACTAGCTTTTTATATTCTTTATCTACTTGTTTTCTTTGTATATGTGTGTGTATATATATATATATATATATATATGCATATAAAACTGCCGGTAAAACCCATCTCGAGATCCCGAAATAAACACAAACACCTCAAAACACAGCGAGACATCAAAAACCGCCCAAAATGCTGTGTAGGTAGGGTTTGTCACAGTCTCTGTAACTTTCTTTATAGCAACGAATCTAAACCACATCAGACCGGATCCCTTACGAACCTTCTCTACAGCCGTTCTCGGGTTTTTTCATGTTTACAACTCGAACGCTTATCTACAATAAAGTCAGTTCAAACGCAAAAGAGAAAGAAACGCTTTACATACCTGCTGAAAGTTCAGATGTTCGCACCATGTGCGTAAAACAGCGTTTATGTGTCAAATTACATGCATGAATAAAGAAAAAAGGGAGATGTAAAGCAGGAGATTTACCTGTTTAACAGAGTGCATGCGCCGGAAGACTCACACGATGTGTCTGGGAAAAAGGGGCTTTAATCCCCGCCCACACCTGCGGCCACGCCCACCTGCGCTCAGAGACACGCCCACTCGGGGAAGCGTTGAGTCAGAGCACATTACAACAACAAAACGTATCATGCCGCAAAAACAACTGAACGCTAAACGTGTACAAGCGATCAACTTTTACAATATTCAATGTATTTGAGTATTAATATGATCATTTTTTGCCATGTTATCACTGTTCTCCTCTATGTTTTCCTGAACTCGTAAAATACAAATAAATGTCCATAAACACAATATATTAATTTTAGTTATTTGTTATATTGAGTATGTGAATATTCCGTTGTATTAATTTATTATATAAATTATATATTATATTATTATATTCTTGTACTCATGAAAATGCAAACAAATTTCCATAAACATCATAAATATTAATTGTTATATATTATTTTATGTTATATATAATTGTATATATTATTAAATATTCTGTTTATATATGTGTGTGTGTGTGTGAGTGTGTGTGTGTGTGTCTGTGTGTGTTTGTTGTCATTTTGGTGCTTGTTTATGCAGAACACACGAGGCCTTTGGTAGTCTTCAATAATTTATTAGTGAGATTTTGGAGTCACTCATCATAAATGAAGCCTGTGTTATTTGATCCCGCCGTTGCCCGGCAGAGGCCCTCCCCACGGACCTCAAAGGCCACGCCCTTATATGTGGCCACGCCCCTCGAATCTGTGCACAGGTCGGGCTGTAAACGCTCCCAGATTTTGGGGTTTGGGGTTCAGCTCTCTCTCAGGTTCACCTGCCACATCTAACACATCCGGCGTTTATGAGTGAGAACGAGTCGCGTGTTCTGATGAGCGGCTCTTTCAGGGTAACTCTGGAAAGTGACTCTGTCACCGGGCTGATGAGGCGGTGGGCGGAGTTAAGGGTTCCGTTCTCTCTTGATTGACAGCGCAGAGGAGGCGGGCCTCGGACCTTCACTGGCCGCACATTAAACACCACCACCACCAGACAGCCCACCAGCTGGAGGCACATGTGCACGTGTGTAGGATCATATTCTCCTGAGCTCGTCTCTCTCTCTGAACTGGTGTCAGGCTGCGAGTGTTTGTGTGAAAGTCTGCAGTTTATTCTGGTGTTACTCTGGACGGAGGGGCGGGGCAAGTGGGCGGGACGGTGGGCTTGGCTACGCGTCACACTTAAACTCCACAATAGCGTCAAAGTAGTAAACAAAGCATATGAAGCACCACTTACTTAAAAATAAGTTTTAAAAAAAAAGTGTTTTTTTTGTTTTTTTGCACTTTCACATTAAAAGTTTTAATCTAGTGCTGGTTTCCACATCAATTAAAAACAAAAAATAATTAATGGGCAACTAAGTGAAATAAAATAAGTTTTTATTTCAAGACACACCCACATCCACACACACACACACACACACACTCACACACACACACTCACACACACACACACACCCACACTAATGCTTAAAAGATAATTAATTAAAATACACTTACATTATATTTAGAACAAGTGATCAGTTCAGCATGATGTTTGCTGATGACTTATAAATGACTTTACTTTTGGCTTAAAAAAAACATTATTATAAAGTATAACTTAATTTTATTCATAAAACCAAATACAACCAAAGTGAAGCACTCAAGCTTTTTTATGTTCAGTATAAAACATTACAAAACAATACCAACAGCGTGTTGTTTTAGTATCGTTGATATATATTATAGTTTTTAATATTTTAATTAGTTTTTAATATTTTTAATTTAGATTTTAATTATTTTTAATTTAGTTTTTATATAGTTATTTTGTCTTTAATAATTTTAGTAGTTAAACTTAATTTCAACTGTAGTTATTTTGTTTTTTAAGTTTAAAATTTCACATCTAATATTTGTATTTTAATTTAGTTTTTTATATATTTAATACATATTTAACATATATTAATATATATTTAACATAATTATACTTTCTGTTGTCATTTTAATTTTAAAGTTTTAGTATTTTTGTTGTTTATTTATTTAGTACCTCAAGTTAAACTAAACGAGAATTAGAAATGTTGCCTTGGCAGCTGAAATAAGATAAGTTTAAATTTGTTTATATTTATTTTATTTCGGTTACCGTTTATTTTATTTCAAGCAACGAAAATGTTTGTTAATGTTTTAGTTAATTATGAGCCTGGGTGGGAAACGCTCATTGTTTGATGACTGTAATGCATCTTCTCGGCCACTAGAGGGAGCTGCAGAACCGCAGTGTTTTCTCAGCAGCAGAACATCCGTCTTGTCTCGGACACAACACTGTATTCATCTGCAAAGAAGAAACCTGTTTTAACCTGCGACACACAAAAGATATAGATTAACCTGTGAGTCAGCGCTGACTCTGTGTTTATGCACGTTGTCATGGTCTCTGGTCTGCTTCTCGTTACACACACCTCACTTCTGTCTGTCCCTCTCAGCTAAACAGAATGTAGGCTACACACACACACACACACACACTAAACTCATTGTGCTTTGGGAGGAGTTTACATGTCAGAAGATTTGTGGAGAACATCTGTTTCAGATCCCGCAAACAGAGTGGAGAGATAAAACCTGGAGACACGTGGAAAGGTCCATGAGCTGGGACTCGAACTCGGGACGCCCGAAGCGCAAAGGCGGGATATATTGGCGCACTGCCAAGAGTCTATGGGTCTTTTTCACATTTGCGGGTTTCTCAGCAGCGGAAGTCGTCATAGTTGGGTTAACTTGAAGAGCAGTGAATGGGAGAGTACCACAAATTTTTTTTTTTGCATTCCCATTTGCTCAAATAGCAAAAGAAAACTCCATGATAGTGTTTTCATGACTTTCAATAAAAGGAAAAAAATTGAGAGAGACTGATAACGTAGCGTACTGATAACTAATAAGCGTCCCTCCCATAGACGCTGCATTAGAAACACCCTCGCAATTGCGTTAACTGTTTTTTTGTAATTTGATGCAAAGGTGATATAATACAAAGAATAGTGTTATAAATGTACATACATTTAAAAAAAAATACAAATATGAAAAACTTTAGAGGATTTACGATGCTGATGACCGTTAAACAAGTCATCACAGTCTTGTGAAAAGGGTCCATTGGCGCCGACCACATTAGCAGGATTGCCAGGTGTTCACAACAAAACCCGCCCAATTGCTACTCAAAACTAGCCCAATCCGTTTCGAGGGGATCCCCGATAAAAATTGATAAAATGCAGGGGAACCGTGGACTTGGCAACACTGCACATTAGGTATTTAATATGCACTCATTTTCGTCAATTCGAATGAATCCTGAAAGTTTATATTAAACTTTATATGAGCCCTAAACGTTGCAATCCAGTGTTGCCAAGTCTGCGGTTTTTCCGCGGAATTGGGCTACTTTAACACTGTTGCCACTGGGTTGTTTATCATGTCCGTGGGTTGAAGTGCCCCAATAACGTGATATTTAGCCCCTAAAATGCGAGTCTTACCAGGGGAACCCCTCCAAAAAATTTCTATTTTATCCCCCAGAATACGATTTTTACCGGGGGACCCACCTCAAAACGCGATTGGGTTAGTTTTGAGTAGCAATTGGCCGGGTTTTGTTGTGGGCACCTGGCAACCCTGTTGCAATTTGAGTCACACATTCGTTTATATGTGTATTTATGTATTCCGAACAAAACTTCAGCGCATGCGCAGTGCGTCAGTCGCCGCGTTCAGAACTGAAGAAAGTCGCTGCTATAATGTCACCGAGCTGCCTGCTGTGAGTATAGTTTGTTGTCATATCTAAAAGAAGAGCTGACAAATATGTCAGGAGAACTTTTTGTTAGCACCTGACCAGTTCGTAATACGTAAATAAACTTGTTCGCATCTTGGCACAAGGTACTCTGGAATCCGATAGATAAGCGTTTACTTGCTGTTTTTTCTGTTGATCAGATTATTTCCAATCCCAGATAACAGGGAGCGTTCTCGCTACTTTCACTAATGTATTTTAAAAGTCAGGCTATATAAATGTTAGGACAAAACATTCTTAAAGTAATGTTTATGGAACGTTGTTATACCGTTATTAACAATTGATACATTCTCATGACGATGTAAACAACATTCTCAGAACACCCTCATGATGTTATTTGTACTTAAACATTCTAAGAAACATTTGTAGTAATCTTTAATTAACGTTCTAATTACGATAAAAAAAAACGGGACAGTTTAACATTCTTAATAAACCTTACGATATGTTTTGGGTAAAAATACAATTAGTAGAACGTTTAAGGAACATATCTGTAACCTTTAAATAACATTATTCATCATGACAAGAAAACTGCACAGTTCAGCGTTTTAGAAACATTTCAAAACAATGTTCCCACAATGTTTTCATAACCTAAATGTATAACCACCTTGGAAAATTAAATATGAATTAAATCTGCTGCAATCAGATCAATCACAATGATCAACAACAGAGGTTTTGATTTGAGTTTATGAAGCATTTAGAGCTTTAAATACACGTTCGGATACAATCTGGTACAACAAACTGAACATATTTACAAAGAAGTTAGAAAAACATTTCATGAGTACAGTAAGGGATAGAAAGAACTGAACACTAATTATGACTGAATGATGTATAAAAATATAAAGACATTAATGTGCGTCGAACAAAATATTGTTGTGAGTGAATCTCACATAATCCAGCTCACATTTCACCTCAAATATTAATTTCTTCAAACTAGTCTTTTGGAACATTCCTTAAAATTAAAGAATTTGTGTGTTATTTTGTTGCATTATTTTAATGACAATTAAGCACAAGTTCCACCCTTAAATGTGAAAAATAATATTGTTATAATTTAACAGAAATAATATTAGTTAAAGCATTTGTGCTGCCTTTAATTTATGCTGATTTTAAAATAAAATCACCATATTATTGTAATTTTTAAATAAGAATGATCATTAATGGAAATACTGAAAAACGTAACTTAA